TCTCCCACCATATGCATTTGCATCCACTGGTTTAAGAGGCTGAACATAGGCTAAGTGAGGAGCCGAAGGGCTCTTGATGATAAAATAATTGAAACTCTGTCTTTTTGTCCTTTTTTCTTTTTGAGATTAAGGCATATGCAGGCAGGTCTGGTGAATATGGCCCCACTGGAAACCAGGTGGGGGTAGTGCTAAGATGAACTTCATCATAAAGGAGGAAGCAAGCTAGGCTTAACAGCAGGACCTCATCATGAGAAGGAACCAGGAATTCGGAGCACAGCATGTTAGCTGATAGCAGCACTTGAATCAATCCCTCTGCTGGTGACTGATCATTCTGGTTTGCCTGGGATTGAGGAGTTTCCTGGGGCCTGGGACTTCGAGTGCTGACATCAGAAAAGTCCCAGCAAAGTAGAATAGTTGGCCATCCTACCTCTACTAGGGAGATGCGGTTGGCACTAGGAGGAAGAAGTTCTGTAAGAATGATGATGTAATACAACACCGAACACACTGGGCTTGAAGCAGCCTCGCTGCAGGATCCTCGCTGAACATGGCAAAGATGTGTTTTCCTTCTCACTTCACAGGGGTAGTACCAGTGATAAAGATCATCAGTTTTGAAGTACATGGTATGAAGTGATGGTATTTTGGTTGTGCCGACATTTGGAATAGCAGATCTTCAGAACATGGTGAGGAGTTGGTGCAACAAGAGACACCAAGTTCCAGCCTAAAGTGCACTCCTGTGGGACTGTCTTGTGTGGGAGGTGTCATGTTGGCCTGGCTGGGCGTGGAAGCAAGCAATGCCAGGAATGAGCCACTGACACATGTAAGTATCCCTGGGGGCTCTTGGAAATATTTAGGGAGGAAGACTCTAAAAATGATGGGAGTTGGAGCCTTGGAGTTATTAAATTGGAATTTATGTTACGGGGACTACATTTGTGCTCATCGGCAAGCAAAGCCTGAGACATTCAGGTCCCATTCATGAATAAAAAATTAAAATATACTATCTGATAATAGGAAATTGATTAAATAAATTATACTATTCATAGTCATTTGGAATATATATATATGTTAGAGAGAGAGACATGTAAGGAGAGTTATAATATTATTGAGTGGAATAAA